AATAGACTGAACAGTCGAAGGCAAACGTTGAAGGAATAATTCTAACATTAAGTTATCAGGAACATTTAAAGATTCTGCTCGACGTTTCATATTTCTAAGCAAATCGGAAGGTTTTCGAGAACCTAATTCTTCTCCAGATAATAATTGGCGAATTTCTTGCTGAGAAGATTCTCCTGAACGATTTATTAACTCAGTTTTTAAGCTTTGCATATGGATCAATAGGGTCTGGTTTCATAAGTAAATCCCGTACTAGTGATGCGATATCTGGAGGAAGATGAGAAACTACATAATTATATTTAGTAATGGATTCTGTGATAGGTTTGGGGGTGGCAAGAGCAAAAGTACTTTCACACATAATAAACCATAAAGATGGGTCTGATCGGTTATAAACCGGAATTTGGACGGCATAAACATCAGACATTGTGCAAGGTTTTTAAGCCAAAATAAAAGCAAAAATTTAACTAAAGAAAATGAAATTAAATGATAAGTAGAAAACAGAATTATAAAATGATCTATAATTACTACTCATCTGTGATTCGGAGGATGAAAACCGATGTAATCCATTACTTCTGGTTTGGAGATCTTGAGTGATGGCTTGTAGTCAAAACCGAAAGTGCTTGAGAACTGTTCATACGATTTAACACAGTCCAGGTTACCATTATGGAGATTTCCGGTTATGTTTTTACCACCAATCCTCGAATTCCATATCACAGATTATGTTCTTACTGCATTAATATAAATATTAACAAGACATAGTGCACAATAAAAATTAAACTTTATTTAGGAACATCGCGCATACTTCCCGACAGCCTGCCTGTTTCGCTCTGCTCGCTACTCGTAAGAAAACTTCTCCTCTAGGGTTGCCACACTTATCGGAGGGCGCAAGGCGCGCTCCTTATCGCCATCACCACAGCCTCACCACCACCCCAACCAGGAGATCTCAAACAGATTGCTGATTTTAGAGAGCATTTGCAAATTTGTCGCTGACAAATTTTTTGTCAAACAAATGTGATAAAATCAATAATCATTTTCAAAACACCTGTGCATTAAGAATTCCATACTTAGGCAATCAATTAATGAAACCTAAAAAGCAAGATGTTATTAGCAAGAAAATGTTTTTGAGAAATAATTTTTTGTGCTGCTGTCAATTCCATATACACATGTAATCTGTTTTCACTTAATAAAACATTAGAGAATTGCACATACTATTCGGTATTGTGCACATACCTTGTTGATCACATAAATATTTTTTGGTGACATCATGGTTTGACAAGTAACTATTTTGGTAACCCCTTTGCCTTACAAATATTTTTCATGACTTCTCACTGGAAATGCCAATATTAGAAAGTATTAAATTTACTTTTATAGTTTGATATCAGAACACAATCTACTCATACATTTAACTTTAGCTGGCCAATCTGATGGCAAATATTCTAAAGCAACCTTTCAAAATTATGCAACTTTCATGTAAGTACATGACTAGTCAAGCATCAGAATTAAAGGTACATAAGGTATTTCTCCTGCCTTTTTAGCATGGCTTCGTAGTGTGGTGGTCTGCACTCTGGGTGCGTATTCCAGAGGTCCATAGTTCGCTTCCCGGCGAAGGAATTGCTCATTTTTCTTCTCTCCTGCTTGTACCAACCAGGGAAATTCCCAGCATATTACAGATGATTCCCGAGATGGGACATCAACTGTTCTTGCGGTTTTCGCGGGGAAGACGTGGACACACGTCATTACCTGCTCTACTGCTCTCTGACAGAGCACCTTCGACAGCAGTTCTTTCCGTCCAACTATATCACATATCCTGTGAATAGACTGTTCACAGACTACTACTGCAACAAGGGCATCTTAGAGATAATGAAGCAAATGAATGAAAATAATTATATCCAAGAAACTAAAGATTAATGTAAAATGTTGAAAGGCGGCTTAACCGTCAGATTGCTAGCAATGACTAGAATGACTTCCTGACCCTGTAGTGCCATTAACTTAGTTTGGCAGAACAGGTTAAGTAAAGTGACCATATCTCTCCTGCTTCCAAAAAAATACCTAATGTCTCTACAGTGGTGCCCGAACTAAAAGGTGGTGGATGATGATTCTCAGCACACAGGATTTGGTGATTAGGTCCCCTAAAAACCCCAGTCGCCTTTAAAAGGGGAAGTATATAAGATATTTCTCCTGCCTTCTTATCATGCCTTTGTGGTGTAGTGGTCTGCATGCTGGGCGCATATTCCAGAGAGGTCCGCAGTTTGATTCCCAGTGAAGGCATTGCTCATTTTTCACATCTCTTGCTTCCAAATAACCTAATGACTCTACAGTGGCACCCAAACTAAAAGGGTGGTGGATGATGATTGTCTCCATCCAGGATTTGGTGATTGGGTCCCCAAAAATCCCAGTTGCCCTTTAACCCATTAGCCGCTGGTGTTGCGTTGACGCAACGGTCAAAATAAATGCATATATAAATATAACTACCTAAGATATTTTATACCAGCAGATGATTTTGTGAAGGGAATATTATGAAAATTATTTCTGTAAAAAAATGTTTGCCTTCAGCAATCATTTTGTTTATAATAATTAATCTTAATTATAATTATTTGTTTATAATAATTTGTTTATAATAATTAATTTTAATAAGCAAAATCTAAGCAAAATTTTCAAGAATTGGCATTTTTAAGAGTGATCTATTTTTAGTCAACATCACCGTTTATCAGAACATTACATCAGTCAGATGTTTACATTTGTGTTCGGAAGGAATGGAAAACAGGTGTTGCGTTGACGCAACGTCAATCTCCTTTTCCACTCATTCCTTTCGATGTTCTGATTCATGTTCTGGTTGTTTAAAAATGCCTAGAACGAGGTATCTTGCATTAGAAGAAGCCCTTCAAAGATTTTTTGATGAAGAAACAGATGATGATAATGTTAATATTGACTAGAATGAAACCGATATTGTTGTTGTTCCCCCAGAAATTGCAGTCTAGTGACGAAGAAGTAAGGAATGGCAATGTTTTAAATAATGATAATGATATTTTACTAAATGATACTGCTGGGGAAGTTGAAATTCACATAAGAAGTAAGTTTTAGCCTTCTAAAAGCAGTTATAGTCATACTAAAAAGTTTAAAAAGCAGAAGACTGAGATCTTGAAGTGGATAAAAAAGGAACTGTGTGTTATGTCTCAGGAAGAACATGAAGAAAGAGATAGAAGAGAAATTATAAAAGACAATACACAAGGTAAAACTAGTGCACAGATTTTCGATTTTCTTTTTGGTTTAGACATTTACTCTCTTCTCGTTGAACAGACAAATATATACGCTCAGAAAAAAAAAAAAAAAAAAAAAAAGGCCCAGAATTTATTGCATCTGAAGCCTATATGAGAAGATTTATTGGAATATTGCTTACAGGATATCATTCTTTACCTCAAGAAAAATGTATTGGGTCTTTTGATAAGGACATTTCTGTTCCTGTTGTACGAGAATTGATATCACGTTTGCAGCACAGGAATATGAAGCAGAATTTGCATTTGACAATAGTCAAATTGACAATACTGATAAATTATATGAGGTGAGACTGTGTCTAACTTACCAAATATCATCACTTTTTACTACTGAAAATATAAAGTCTCTTTTAGATTCCAGACGCGAGAATGCATTACTCCTTTTGCAAACTCCTATTGAGAGTGTAGAATTAGCCAGAAATAGATCAGCAACAGGAAGACCTAGTAAATTCAGCATTCAAAAACCATTGCATGGAGATGGTAGACATTTTATCGTAAAGTCCATTGATAACAAAGACAAAAGACTTTGTTGTAAAGAGTACCATAGCCAGACTGTTTGTAGATGCAAAGTATGTAATGTAGCTTTACATCATGATTGTAATCAAGCTTTTCATGCTTGAATCTTTCAAATGAAATAATCTGTATTTGTAAAAGAAAAACAATGTATATTTTAATATTAAATTAATTACAAGTAAAGTTATTTGTAGATTTATAAAACGTTATACAGCTAAAAAGTAATCCTGCGCTCCACTCAAAAGAAACATCACACGAGTACAATCCTACTCACTAAACATCTTATTCCGCTGACGTTGCGCGAACGCAAAACTTGCTTTTTCCTCAGGTAAGAGCATTTTTTTTTTTTTTTTTCATTTTCAGTGTAAATTTATGTTATAAATGCTTAATTTAATATTTGTTATTATTTTCATGAGAAAAGAAACATTCCTTGTAGTTTTGGCGGTTAATGGGTTAAAAGGGGGAGTACATAAGGTATTTCTCCCACCTTCTGTGCATGCCTTCGTAGTATGGTGGTCTGCACGCTGGACGCGTGGAGGTCCGTGGTTCAATTCCTGGTGTAGGCATTGCTCATTTTTCCCTTCTGCTTCCAAAAAAATACCTAATGTCTCTACAGATAGGCCTTATTTATTCCTGGTTATGCATTCCTTTACCTTATCCTTATTATCTGTCAAAACGACTCCATCTAACAATCATTCATTTAATTTTCTTTCTAGAAATACACTCTGAATATTCTTATGTATAATTTTTAAGTGAAAAGATTTTTAATTAAATACGAGGCACGTCCAGAAAGTAAGTTCCGTTTCAATTTATCTCCGCTGCAGCTCTGCGATCGCAGTTCTGCACATGCGCAGTAGACGCTCTGTATCAAGGAGAAGAAACGCATGCCATTTGGAGATCGCTGTCAGTCACGTATGCTTTGTTGTGCTTGTTTACAATGTAAGTATTGATTGAAAATCCCGCCACCTGTGAAATCAGATCTGTGATTCGTTTTCTGAATGCGAGGAAAGTGAAACCTAGTGAAATTTATCGGCAAATTTGCGATCGGTCCGAAAGTTCAATGACGGACATAGTGATGTGCACGATGAAGATCGAAGTGGGCATCCATCTTTGGTTACAGAACAACTGGTTCACACGATTGATGACAAGATCCATGAAAACCAAAGGTTTACAATTAGTGCTCTCGCTATGGAATTTCCCCAAATTTCACGATCACTAATGCATGAAATTGTTACCGAAAAACTGAAATTTTGTAAACTTTGCTCACGTTGGGTATCAAAGATTCTTGCTGAGCAACATAAAACAAAACGGATGGGTAGTGCACTTCAGTTTTTGACCCGTTATGCTGAAACCGGCGAAGAATTTCTGACACAGATAGTTACAGGAGATGAAACTTGGGTTTCTTACGACACCCCTGAAAGTAAGCGGCAATCAATGGAATGGAGGCACACTTCATCCCCAGCAGAGGTTAAGACGATGCAAATCTTGACACCTCGAAAAATGATGTGCACAGTGTTCTGGGACTGGAAAGGCATCTTACTCATTGATTTCTTACCACGTGATCAAACAATCAGAGCAGATGCTTATTGCGAGACACTTCGAAAATTGCGCCGCGCAATACAGAATAAGCGCCAAGGATTGCTGTCAAAAGGTGTTTTCTTCACGACAACGCACGACCACACACTGCAAATGTGACGAAAAACCTCCTACAGGGATTTGGCTGGGACGTGTTTGACCATCCTCCGTACAGCCCTGACTTCGCTCCTAGCGACTTTCATCTGTTCTTACATCTTAAGTCTTTCCTTGGTGGTCAACACTTCAACAATGACGACGAGCTGAAAGAAACTGTTTCCAACTGGTTGAAGACACAGGCGGCAAATTTCTATGAAGAAGTTTTACAAAAACTTGTGGCCACGCTATGACAAATGCCTGCAATATTTTGGCAGTTATGTGGAAAAGTAGTTTAAGAGTTGTTGAATTTTGTGCAATAAATAACTCTGTAGTTGTACACAATTTACTTTTATTACCAAACAGAACTTACTTTCTGGACGTACATTGTAAATTACATACTGTTTAGTAAAACTATTTTAGAATTAAAAAAAAAAGTTCTCACCTTATTGTAACATCTTGAAAAATCCAGACTTCTTTAAAATCAGTTCGAAGAAATAAATCCTTTTCAAAGATATGTTCTTCATTTATTGGAATAAAATCTATTTCAGGAACAAGTGGTCTACCTGATCTGCCTGTTTGCTCTATCATAAAAATTTCAAAAAATTGTTTTAAAGGAAAGATTGAATAGAAGGTCCATGATATAAGCTGAATCATTAAATTATTAATAAAGAATTAATGAATCATTGTCTTAAATTTTCCAATAACATACTTTATTTCAGACATAGTTCCCTGATAAGGTTCACATTCATTGGTGCCTAAATAAACAAATATTCAGAATATTTCAAAATATTTTCATGAAAAGTCATAGGAAAAAGAGTAACTAAATTGTGTATTTTGCCCAGCCATGTTTTCATTGGTCCACCTTTTCACTTAAGAAAAGTGTATTCCACACATTACTTGAACATGGCACACAGAATTGTTTTGTGTTTAGAATCTGAGATACCTATCTACCAGCTGAAATACAATAATTTGTACAGAATGGAATGATGTCATATAAGTCTGAAATTGTATTAGAATTTCTGAAAATAATTATAATAATAATGATAATCATGTGATGTGCAACAACTAATAAAAATGACATAACTGTGGAATATTATTGCGGAATACAACTATGGAATATTTTGGCTGTTATTGACCTCCAATATGACTCTCTTTATTATGTGATACTTTTGAAACACAAAAGCTTCAGCTCATGACCTGCTAATAAAAAAAACTGTAAACCAAATTGTTTAAATTGTGTGGTAATATAAAATAAGGATGTGCAAAAATATGATCAATTATAAATATGGTCTTGCACCTTCAAGAAGTTGTATCCCAAAACGAACATCATAAAGTACATATGCATTTGTATTACAGAACAAGTAACTTCACTTGTCAAAATTCAGATAGCTCTCTATTGTAATAATGCAGAGTAACCTTTAAAGGACACACAATGTTGATAAAAATCAGGCTTGGCAAGTTCCTTCCACAGTATCAAAAATCCAGGAAAAGACGAGCTGGAAGAAATTTGTTTCCACTAAAGTGAAAGTAACCGATTTTTGTACTTATGGCATATTTATATTACCATACCTATATTTTTTCCTGTGTAGCACTATTATATTACTAATTTAAATATTTTCATTTTCTATGGAATTTAAAAAGTCTCAGTTATATGCTAGCAATAACATTTTTTGGTAAGAAATATATAAATATAAATATGAATTTTTGTTAACTTGCTATGTCTTTCACATCTGCAAACTTAGACAGATAATGAAACCTGATTTAATTCATATCAGTAACACGAAAATAATAATTTAGAAAAGTTAGAAAATAAAAGTGGAATAATAATAATAATAATAATAATAATAATAATAAAAAAAAAAAAAAACGAAATTTAGTTACAAAAATTAATACACATCATAGTAAGAACTGTGTAACAAAACAAAGCATTTTTTTAATTGCATAAAATAAGCTATTTTAAAATATTAAATGGGTAAATTCAAAAGAAGAAAATTTATTCTAATCTTGCTGAATTTTAATCTTGAGTAGTTTGCGCAATAACACATTTTTTTCTACTACACAAGATTTAGCGTATTGCAGACAGCATAAGTAAAGAAAGTTTCTGAAAATGGTGCATTCTCAGCAGTGTTGGCAAATTTCTTCCATGATGTAGAAAATCAGAATTGATTTTTTACTTATTTCAAATAATTATATTTATTATTTTATTCAAATATAACACTACTATATTACTAATCAAGTTATAAGTTTTCATTATATGCATATCTAATTCCATTCGTATGACTGCATTAATGTTTTGTGTAAAATGTAGTTTTTACACTTTCTATGCTATCTGCTTTTGCAACTGTAAGCTTGAATAGATTTTAAAACCAAGAGAAAATTATTTCATTACTTTTATAGCAAAAAGTAACATTTTTTTTCAAATAAGTTAAATAGTCATTAATAAACATATTTCCTTTTAGGTAGCCAGATGGAATCATCTTTTGGTATGGGTCCAATAAGCAGTCTGCAGATCGATTCTATCTTGCTTTATGGTGATATGATGCAGATAATGACATTTTGTATCTTCTACTTTTATAAATGGAATCTGGGCCAACATGCTATGTTATCTGCTTATTATTAATTGATTATAGGGTTACCACACATCCTTCTTCTTCCAGATGAGTCCATATTTTCAAGGATTAAATAAATGCCCAATGAAGGCTTTTCAAAATCAATACAAATGCCTGGAAACTGAACCTATGGATTTTAATTTCTAAAAATCTTGGCTTTTAATCACAAAAGCAAGCTAAAAATCAATTTCAAGAGAGAGAGGATTGAATTTTAGAAGTAGAGAATGTACATTTCCAAAATGCTGTCAAAAATGCATATGATGATTGCTTGCAATATCTGGATATAAATATATCTAGAGCTATTTAAAAAGTTTCATTGCTTCAGGCAGATGGCATATGAAAAATTCTTGTATGCAGAAACTAAATTCATCCTCAAATACATATAAAGGGTAAAAGAATCAACACTGGAGCTAGCAAACACTTTAGCCATATCTGCAATCTAAAGAAATTTGCAACTATGTACAAAAATGAAAAAAAAAAAAAAATTATGTTTTGTTTCATTAAAAAGGTTGAGGGGGTTCAGTACATCAAGCATTCCAAAAGTATCAAATGACAATCCGAGTTCCTCAAAATTATACAATTCTTCTCTGCCATTCCTGCCCATAGTTGCAGTGTGTGAAAGACAATTTTATTTAATTGAAATTCAATGATCGAAAGAAAGGAATCACCTTGCTTCAGAGTCAGTGAATGAATTAAACCAGATAAGTATAACTCTTATCATTTCAGTTGTGTTGCATTCTATTTGAACCTGCTAAAATAATCTAACATTTTAAAGCAAATTAAATCATTAGCATTTGTTACTTAACTATGTTATATAAATGATGTACTTTCAAATGGAACATGAAAGACTGAAATTTGATTAAAAAATTTAAAAAATGCAGTTTTTATTTCTATATGTACTACCAGATTACAATAATTTATGAAATAATTATCAAAATATGAAGCGTATTACAGATCCATTTTAACAATTTGAAACTTTTGTTTATTGTGGGTATGTGCAGTTGTAAGGTGTCAACTTTAGGTTTGGAGAAGTTTCACTGGTACGGTGTCCTTATTTGTCATGTTTATGTTTCAGTGTTCAGACACTGTTATAGTGTCATTCTGAATTTCATTTTTGCAGCTGAGGATATACTAAACCTAATCCAAAAAGGAACATGACACAGATACCCAGATTATCTCAGAAATATTATAAACTTGAACTTTCTTTAAAAACACAACAAAACAATCGTTTTTCAATGGATCCCTTCACATGTAGATATCGACGGTAAAGGCAGACTCACTAGCCAAGAGAGGAAAACTTGTGCCACAAGGCAGCAAGCCACTTCCTTCCGAGTCACTTACAAAGCATATTTTTGAGAAATTAATGCATACTCTTAAATCTGATTAGGCAGCAAAATCAACAGGCAAATCCTGGGCTAACATTCAAGACACATGGAAAATGTTTTGTCAAAAACTACATAAAGAGGCTGTGGCAAACTTCAGACTACAAACAGGTCACGATTGCAAGGCACATCATCTTAATAAACCTGGCATCCTTTCATCTAGTCTATGCCAAATTTGCAATTTGGGATCATAAATGCAAAGTATCTTCTAATATACCCAGAACTAGATAAAGAGTCTCAGAAACGTAGTGAGATATGTAAACTATACTGGAATGCCAGAGCTTTCATGGACTCCTTGTAAAGACTACATGTCTTATGTTCTTTTCTACTCGTTGTTTAAATTTTTAGCTTTTTACTCTTGTTCCCATGTTCATTTGTTCTGATTCTTACTTTATAAATGTTTGTTCTTTTTTATTATTTATCATTGTTCTTGTGTGATAATTGAGCTGTTTTACATATTTGGATTCATCTTTTCAATAAAGCCATATGTAACAACATGTTCAAACCCTTTACTCTCCCCTTTCCCAATTAAATTTAAAGAACATATATCCAACTTTTCTCCATCTTAAAACTAAACAGGAATATTATTTTAAATACAGCGATATACAAGCTTTATATGCAAAAATAAAGTAAAATGGTCATATGTAATCCCTTACCATCAACCTTCATTTCTGTAAATCCTCTTTCCAGTGCTTCTAAGCAACAACCCAGAAACGCTCTAGAGCAATTCTTATGCCCTCCTTTCAAATATCGAACAACAATGTTAGTCCTATCTTCACATGATCTGCCACGAGTATCATGGTTCATTCCAAGTGCACAACATTCTCTTTCTATTCCAGTATAAGCACTCACTTCAAAGTATATAGAAGAAAGGCACAGAAAATATTAAAATACTTCACATGAGTAAAAGAAAGATAAAACAGAATTAGCTAAATTTACATACTCATACCATAATTTAAAATGTAAATGGAATTACTACATTTTATGAAGCTAAGTATTTATTATAATTAGTTCCTGTTTCAAAATAATTTCAGAATTTAACTGCTAGATTTTCATTTTCACATTGATTTCTACATGAAAACGGAGTAAAAAAAAAAGAAAAAAAAAAAGAAACCTATTGCAGACTGCCATAATCATTGATGTCACTTCTGTTACTTTTCAAACTTTTAAAAATGCTATTATTGTCCATAACTTTATAAGGTCTTGCATGTGCCCTTTTTATGAAAAAAAAAAAAAAAAGATTCATTAAAAAAGTTTCCTTTTTAGAAAAAACAAAGCGCAGCAGAGTTGAAGAGGAAATGATACATTAACAAAACATAACAATAAAATAATAAAAACTAAAAAGACTTTTTTCCCTCCAAAAAATAAATGAGGACAATACTTTATAATTGGGAAATATAGTCACATCATGGAAAAATTAATTAACCAAACTCAAATTATGCAAGTCTTGCACTTAAATGTAGACTATTTAGTGCTGATTAGTCTCCAGATAGTTCATTCAGAATAGCCAGACCACAGGCAGAAGGTTCTGAATTAGATCTAAACATAAGGCTCGGATCTTTACAGTCTGTCCAATTAAAAATAATCTTTAAGAATTAGGAATCCTTCTATCACTGTTATAATCAGAATGGAACACAACCTGCTCCAAATAGCAGCAGGAAATGTAAAAGCATGCTGAATAATGCAACGGCAAAATAAATTATTTCAAGTCACATTATAACAAATCTCATAGTTCAGTGGAAATCATCCCCAGTTGGTTAAAGATCTAAATAGCTCATTTAGTAGAGTACTTGTATCCAGAAAAGAGTCTGGAAAACTTTAAAAGCAAGCACTACTAATATAAAAGAATCTGAGAAGTCTTAGTCTTTGCCTTATAATCTAGAAACTTAATAAAATGAATATCTAACTGTGTTTGACTTTAAAAGAAATCAGATATTTATACAAATTCTAAGTTGTTAATTCAATTTTAAATTAAAGTGTTCTTATCTAATTTCATTTGCGTGCACTGATAAAATATCTTTAGGATTATCAATAAGCTGATAATTTGTCTATGGCTTCTTCATTTATAACCATTGAAAATAATTTAACAGGATATTTCTTTTAAATTTAATTCAGAAATTTCCTTAAAATAACCTTTTTTTTTATATTTAATCAAATGAGCACATCCTGTAAAATGCTATACTTATTACAAATTAAATACAAATATGCATTTCAGGGACTTAAGAATCGTATACATGATAAAATCTTATAGATCAAGGCTCAATTTTTTCCAGCTAAAAATTTTTGAGTTATTCAGATACTACAATTGATAGCTACATTTGTTAATTACATAAAAATATATTTTCCATTCTTTCCATACTTTTATTTCCTTTCTCTTTGTGCACATCACTGGATACTCATATAAACCTTTGCAAGAGAGATACAATAACGCACAAAAGAAGTAATATCGGCTACGAAATATTTTAACAAAAAATCATTTTTCAGAATTATATTACTCAAAATTTGAAGAAATCTATGAAAAACTTCTAATGAAATTTCAAGATTATCATCACAAACAATTAATATACATTATAATTTAAATGAGCACTGCCCACTTTCTCACGCAAAAGAAGTAATTATTTGTTAGGGTGCATATTTTTTCCCTAACAAAGCATAATAACTTTTTTAATTCTTGACTTTTTAATTTATTTATTATTGTTATATCTCAGTCACAGACTTATAAATTAGTATTAAAATTATACAACTTTTTAACTTCATGAAAAGTTTAAAATTAATAACTTGCAGCTCATGTTAATCGCATATCTCACAAATTTTATATTCAAGAGAAAGCAATAATTACATTCATGTCACTTGACATCATGAAAGAAAAAAATTTCCAATATAAAATATTAATTTCCAATATAAAATATTAGCACAAACATGAAAAACTTACATATGTCAGATCCTATATCCCTTTTTTGCCTTTTCTTTTCAACACAAGATGATGCTAGATTAGAAAAAAAAAAAAAAAAGAGAATAAATTATATTTTTCTTGCATCTAATTATTAATAATAATTTGTGGCAATATGATTAGAAGGTACAAATTTAATTACTTATTTTTATTACTATGTAAAATATTCTGTAAAAAAACAAAGTACAATAATAAACATAGCCAGTGTAATCCAAAATAAAAATTTCAGACACTGCATTAAATAAAAATAATGGAAATAATGGTGATAATATATACTTTATGGTAACTTCTGAATAGTAAAAAGTTCTTTAAGAATAACAATTTTGATTTTTTTCTGTCTGTTGCAGGTAAGATAAGTTTGATGCACATAACAAATCACTGCATTCCCAATTAATGGGGATTAATGAACTGATGTAGAATTAAAGCAGAAAATCATTATTCCGACAAAATTTAGAGAAAAGATAAAACATTATTACTGTGTGCATGGTGAATGTTATGCCAGCTTGTATTGCCAAAAAATATTAAAATGCTTATATTTACTTTAATAATAAAACATCAAAAACAGTTTTGCTTAATTTACTAAAACAAAACGAATGTGCATAAATGCAGCCTATATGAAACAGACTTGTTTTTATTATCACCCACTAAAGTCCTGAACACTGGTAGTTCAGTCTGGAATTGAACGGATTTGCTGCATGGGTGTTTTCATGGTTTTCCCCATGTGTAATAAGTATATGAGCCAGTTGCCCTTAGAAAAACCTCCATGAAGGGATCCCTCCTCTAAAACAGAGAGAGAGCCCTCAAGTGTTTTGCTATAATCAAATAAACCGAATCAACCACTTCTCTCACATATTTTGTTTGACCTGAACATTACACTTAGTAAATGTATTTAGAATCTGATATAAAACTAAAACTCATCATAAGAGCAAACTGGCCCATTGCTGTATATTATGGCTCTAATTCTTCCTGCGCCATTTCAGATAGGCATTATTAAAGATAACCAGTTTTTGCTGCTTTTGAATTTTCTGGGATAAAGGATGGTCTTCTGTTAACAATTTTCTATGACACAAGAGTTCTAAAGGATGCTGCATATTTTTGTTAGCAATTTCATTTATGCTGTGAAGGAAATTATGAGTAGAAACCTATCCTGAAATGCAATTGTTTTCCTTCTGCAACTTCGTCTTATTTCCTAGAAAAAATTTCAGTGTCTCTGAATAGTTTTCAGAAGGTAGATGCTAGAAGATAGATTCTGCTATCTTGCTATTTCTGTAACTGCTTCAGGTAATATGTCATTATTTTCTATTCCAAATCACACTTAGACATAATCCAAACTATTCTGGCTTGATAGGCACTGAAAAGAAACTCTTGTGTCATAGAAAATTGTTAACAGAAGACCATCCTTTATCCCAGAAGTTCTTCAAGAAATATAATTTGTGCAAAGTATTCATCACACCTTCAAGTAATATGTCATTATTTGCATGTCAAAAACATCTTAATCATATTGTGTTGGATAGTGATAATTAATTTTATTTTTTACTTATGCCATGAAAAATAAATCAAATTGATTGGTTACTTTACAAAACATCATTATTTTCGCATAAGTAAAAATTTTTGACACAAGATTATATCAGCATATTAGCACTTGTTTTGGGTGGTATTACAAGCATGATAGAAATCAGAGAATACTGCAAAAATAAATAATATAAAATTGAATTATTAAAATGAAATTCTATGAAGAAAATATGATTAGTTTGCTGCAAAGAAAATGGGATTAGTGCATTGAGTTGCATATATATACACTATAAAGTCTGAAATCTAGATGTCCATTATCCGGAATGATCTAAAATCCAGACCTCAAAGCCACAAACACATTTTTTTTTTTTTTTTTTTTTTTTTTTTTTTTTTTTTTGGTATGCTTAATGCATGCGCATTTGATTTCCATAATAAAACATGTGGAGATATTCACTTAAAAAATCTGATTCTTAGGTACTAAACAAAATACCTCATTATGGAAAAACAATCATGTAAGCATAAATTTGTGAGATTAATAATTTGGCTCTGTAACTGAGTGTCTGCTTGGCATACATCTCAAACCGAAACATTCACCTATTTTATGTCCCCGACTCCAACCTGTCGAGCATTACACTTGGTGATGATCATAGATTTTTAAATGCTCTAAGAAATGTTGACGAGGAAAAATTCAATAAAAATTTCTTTTCACATGTTAAAAATAGATTTTGTTAATGAAACTATAGGCCAAAAGATTACATTTAGTGCTATTTTAATTAAAAATAACTGATATGTTATTCACCATAAACCCAGAAGCAGCAGCAGTGGTAGAATATGTCAGCACCGGACGGCAGAATTTAGGGAAGACAAAATTTTTAGAAATTTGGGGAAGCACTGAGTGGCAAAATTAAAGGATGAGAAGTTTTTATGATGGAAACTTTTCGTAATTGGAAAATATGCACGACCTCGAACATTTAAAGAAGTAACGATTTTCCCCGTTATATATCGTGCAAATAAAAGAGCACAAGCGTTAATGAATGACTGGCTTGAAAAAAATCATATTATACTTAACATTTGAATTCAGTTGGTTTACCTGATGACTCAAAAAAAGTCCTGATTGTAGACAGCTGTTCTGCTCATACTTCACTAAAAGTTTTAGTGAAAGATAATGTATCCATATTATTTTTCCCTCCAAATTGCATGTCTGTCAGTCAACCTATGGATATCGGAATAGTGCGCGCACTGAAATGCAAATATAAAGTATCATTTTTAAAATCCATGTTAAATTTCTTGAATAATGGCAAGACCATTCAAGAATTAAAAAAATATTTTAGCATAATATCTGCTGTGTGGAGCATCGCATGTGTCTCCAGATGCCTTAAAAAATGCTTGGCATAATTTATGGCCAGCTACCATATTTCATGGTGAGGACGATGATGATGATAGCCGTGAATTTGAAGGTTTTCAAACATCGCAAACTAAAGGTGAAATTTTCCAGTTATTGGATTTTGTAAAGAAATGTGGAGAAGCGGTAATAAATGAAGATGATATAACAGCAGCTTTTCAATGCGATGACAATGCCCCATTCATCAATCAATTAATGAATGGCGAAATCTGTAGTATGGTTCTAGATCCAGAAAATACTGCTACCAATAGTGAAGAAAGTAACAGAGAGGTTATTGAAAATGAAAATATTTCGATTGACAAGTCAGTCGGTATTCTCGACACAGTAATTACAGGACTTGAACAGTGGAACTTTGTAACTGAACAAGATATTATGTCTGTTTATAGAATTAAATAGAAAGTATTAGCACAAAAATGAAGCAACTTAAACAACTTACATTGAAAGAAATGTTTAATAAAGTAAACAAATAAATATTAATTTTTTTTTGTAAATTTTGATACCCTTTAGATTTTGCTCTTTATTTTTATAAATTATGACTTCATATTTTTAATTGTATAATTTCTGCATGCCATCTTACGAGATTTAAATTGATGATCTAATATCTGGAAAAATCCCAAATCTGGAATCGTCAAAGTCCCGACGAGTTCAGATTTCAGACTTTGTACTGTATATACTAAATCATATGTTTAAAATATGGCATGAATAAAATCAGATTACTAAAACAGAAATTAACATTAAATGAGAAATAGGGTTAAAAGTTTCTGGTCTCACATATTTCTGAGAAGAAATAGAAAATTTTAATAGTTTGTTTCTTAATATGATCTCATACTTCAATACATTTTTTGCATAGTTTAATGAGCAACTCTTTGTTTCCAAAAATTTAATCTGAAGGATGTTCCGTAACTGCTTTTTGCATGCTATGACAGCAATCAAATTTATACACCATTCATGCAACTACATGCAACTAGGGTTGACAGGTTCCAAAATAAAAACCCTTTATATTAGGCAGGAGGTGGAAACTAATCATGTAATCGCCTCAGACAGAGGACAAAACAAATTCCTTTCTGCTACGGATCAAGGGTCTCAATCCCAGAATGCAGATTTGCTAAAAATGAACTCTCTCATACCCCTCAGATAAACCAGCCAATCGGGTATTCGTCGAACTTCAGGTTTTGGAGACAATGACGGGACGAGGCCCAACTAGGACTATAAACACAGTGTTCAAGGCTGTCAAGCCAGCTACTCGGATGGCTACTATCCAGGATAGCATAGGATGTCCTTTTTAGCAATAGGAACCGGGTTTGTGTTATTGTGTCCCCGCAGCAGCTAGAGTAATAATAAAATACTAAGCCAGTGTATACAACCCCAGGAGGTAAGATATGAAAAATTAGAACATTCTTATCAAAAATTGGAAATTTCTATTAGATTTTTAAGCAATATTTCAAAAGAACTCAGATTTTATTTATAATGCCTGATTCAGGTTATTCAACTATTTAAAATATAATTTTGATGTGAAATATAATATTTAATTAGATATTCTAAATTTCATATTCTTCGGCTAATTCCATTTTGTAATAGTTTTACATTTTTTTTACTGAGAAAATCCTAAGTAGGGAAGGAAAGCTTTAATTTTTTGAAGAACTTTTAAACATCATAAAAATAAAATTAATAACTAATGTAAGTATCATTGTATGAATAAACCTAGTAATACACCATACATTGACATAAAACAAAATTAAATACAAATATTAACTGATTAAACAATACTTGAATCTTTATATAAAGTTCAAGAAATATATACAGAATATTAAGATAATTCAGCTCAAATAAAATCTAATTTGAAAAGAAAAAAAAAATATGGTGAAAATCACTAAAGTTGGGGATGAATTTAAGGCAATTTAAATTTCATTTACTACTGGAAAATGCCCCTAAAAAATAAAAACCAAGGAAGTTAAAAGAGTTGCTTTAGATAGATAACCTCTTGATTCTATCTCAACATTTAATATTATATCATTGAATACTTTTTCCTGCACACAAGCAAATTTTCTTTGGACTGTTGGCGACATTAATGACTGTAATGGTTAACCATCATGAAAATTGCCTTATACAGAATTTCGGCCCATGCAAAATGTTTTGCGTATTATTCTCTTACTATAGAATAGGAATGAAATGTATCAGCATGCACATGATCCAACCCCTCTTTTATCTCTTTGGGATTAAGATTTTTTTTATCAAAAATTTAATCACAGATACTCATTCAGGTAACAGTAAAAAAAAAAAAAAAAAAAAAAAAAAAAAAGAATGCATGCAATTTTTGTAATGAACTTTCCACATTTATTCATTAAATACTGTCACTACATGTCTGCAAGAAAAATTTATCACCAGGAAATTTTTAATATGTGAAGTTGGAAACTCTTGGATCCAAACATATATTGCTTCATGAGACAGTAAAATTAAATCAAGAGAAACGCAACATTAAAAACAGCATGATTATTGCACATATGACTGCGACCATAAAAAAAAGAAATAGAACTGTTGCTGCATCAAAGAAAATGAAATTTTAATAGTCATGAAAAAGGGCAGCTGCTTCAGAAAAATAGATAGAATGAGAAAATTATGACAGCATTAGTAGCAAACTTCTTTTAGAAGATTAATTTTCAATCTATCTGATAGTGTAAAGCAGGGGTTGGCAAACTTTTGATCATCAAGGGCACAATAAAATTTTTAATTCTTAGCAGCTGCCACCCATTCAAGTTTCATAATAGAACAGCAAATATCATATTGCAAACTAATTTTGTTCGAAAGCTGTAACTTTATTGAACTAAATAACAAATATTTCTAATTTATACTTTTTAAATACTTTTTTTAATATATCAATGTGAAATTTGTGTTTGTAATTAGTCAGCTAACTTATTATAATTAACAATATAATTTGAATCACATGCTCTTAACCAATTATCTAAGTATGAGCCAGTTAGTTTCAAATGATGCTTTGATTTCAAATAAATCATATTCAAAAATAATGTCTCACAATTATGGGTACTTGAACAATAAGAATTAATCTTTACTACATGACTTTCAAATAAGATACTGATTTCAGTTTAGCAAGCTCCAAAATATCTTATTAGTTTCATAAGATTTTAAAATAACACCATTTTACAAGCTTGCTATTTCTAAGTTTTCCATACTGTTAAGATGAAAATAGTTAAAAATTGCTCTTGCCATGTTTTTTTCCCATCACTAATGTTAAAGGGTTTAACTTACTAATGTTAAAGGGTTACTCACTAATGTTAAAGGGTGATGTACATTAATGTTAAATGTACATCACTAATGTTTCCCATCACTAATGTTTCCAGTCACTAATGTTAAATGTTTTTATACAGAATTTTAAAATAGGCTCTAAATTTGCAAAATTATCAAATCTAGAATCAAATTCAGTTTGCAATGCAGACATAATTTGAAGGTTTGAGTCTGTATTAATATTATGCTCTTTCAGACTTTCTGTCATTTTTTTGGTATAGGGGAAATGTTTTAATGATTGTCTTAAGATACGAGACCCATACAATTCTAACAAGCCAAATATGTTAACCAGGTTTTGTCTTCTAGTTGTTTGTACTTATTTCCTTGGGATGTTAGAAACTCTTTTATTTAAGGTAGCAAATTGATAAATTCTTCAAGCATGTTTCCCTTGCTCAGCCAATGAACCTCAATGTGTAAAAGAAGATCAATAAATTGTGCATCTTTGTCAGTTTCTGAAAGCAGTCGTAGTCTATGTTGCACTTCAACTATTGAATTAAATTGATTATTTTTGTGACAGCAATGATTACACCTGGGATTTCAGTGATTTTTTGCACACAGTGATTTCTGGTGTGTAAAGTAATGATACACCATAAATTTTGGAAAAAAAGATATAGCTGGCCTAAAGCAATGAATCCAATATTCTTCCCTGTCACTGCTTGTGCACCATCACTTTTTATTGAAGATAATTTCTCATTTGGTATTTTAACGTCAATCAAAAACGTTTTTATGACACAAAATAAATCCTTTCCTTATGTGCACTCTTTAAGTAGCAGTATTTTTAGAAATTCTTCTTTTTATCGAAGATAATTTCTCATTTGGTATTTTAGCGTCAATCAAAAACGTTTTTATGACACGAAATAAATCCTTTCCTCATGTGCACTCTTTAAGTAGCAGTATTTTTAGAAATTCTTCTTTTTTGGTAATATCATCAAAGGTAATCTTGACACTTATTGCCAATTATGATGTATCTGTTATATCTTTCGATTCACCTAGTTGTAAAGAAAAAAATGCTCATTTGTTCACATCTTTTATCAACAGGGTCTCAAAGTGACCTGTGATATTTTCAGTTCTCTTTGTAACAGTTCTAGCTGAAAACTGCACGGCATTTACAGCCAAAATAATTTATTTTTTATTTTTAAAAATCTGCAAAAAGTATGCCTTCAGATTCCAATATTGCTTCTTTTATTATTGTTGCATCCGTATATAGCGTATGTTTAGCAAATCAACAAGATTGTTGCTGCCTTTGATGTTTCAAACGGTTTAGTAAAAGCAGACGGTTGTTTCAAAATTGACGACTTTAATGATAAAATTTTATTTCTTCGAAGTTCAGAAAGTTTAGGATACACTCAGTCAAACTTCGGATGCACTGTTTTAAAATGTTTCTTAAGGTTACTTTTCTTTGGAACTTCTGCACTTTTGTTGCATTATAAGCATATATATTTGTCTTTATGATTTATAAAGCAAAGCAAGTGCTTCCGTTCTCCAAAAAAATTATAAGTGCGTGCTCACTTAGGGATGTTATCAGTTTGTAAGCAGCTCACACATACTGGCAAATGTGTTAGACCATTTATAGTTAAATGCATCAAACACATCATGCTGTGTCATCGGGTCTGTCTGATATTAGTCGGCATCACTTAACGATGAAACATTTCGAGCACCGGCAATGCAATAAAGTGGCTGTTTGATGCATAAGATGTAAAAGCATGCAGTTTTAATATGTATTATATAAACATATACCAAAAACTTCAAAATTACACGCAAAGCAGAATAATTCAGTGTGAGCCCATACATGAACAGGGTGGCAGATACTGTGTTGCCGACCCCTGGTGTAAAGAACTGAAATCGTATAATTATAAGTAAGATATTCTCTATTTAATGAGGATCTTAATGCAAAATTCATAAAAGATCCACTTAAGTTAAATAAAAAAATTCTACAAAGCTGCTTTGGAGGGTAAATGCAACCCTCTGGAGAATGTGTGTGCCGAATTCCACAACTTTAAAGCTTTTTGGTTTGCGCTATATGACAAATAAAAACAAATTCTATCTTATTACTATAGATTCATTTTCTTGAGTTGTTGCAAATGAAATGGCCAGTGACTTATGCCACGTTTCTAACGGTTACAGAAGAAAGAAAGCTCCAAGTTTTATATGAATTTTTATATCATGTGGCAAAGTATATGTGGTTTATGCAATTGTAATATTTGCTTCTTCACCAAACACTGAACACTTAATACGATTGACATTAATTCAATTATGGAACCTACTAAATGAAGGTTGTTATACATTAATGATTCCAGATTAGGACTTTCTGAAGTGGCTACAATAAAAAATATCACTAAAGCATTCAATGGATGAGCAACCAATGAGAGATTCACTTGCCATCAATTTTCAAAATTTTCTGCAGGAGACCAAATTATGGCTTAAGCAACCAGCATTTGTGAAAAGAATGGAGTCATACTGCTTTATGATAAAACTCAACTATACACAGAAAATCAGCAATTTGGGACACAAAATTCTGCCTCAACCTTCTTATTCTCCCAATAAATCCCAAACAGTTCACCATTTTTGCTAGTACTTGAACCATTTGTTGCTTAAAAATGCTTTGCCAGTGATGCATCAGTTTACTGGGCAGTGGAGGACTTTATTATTTCTATAAATACATATTTTTACAGAAATGGTACAAAAAACTTTTTCATATGTTAGCATTATTTTACTGATGCTGCTGGAGATTAAACAAGTACTCTTTTTATTATTATTATTATTATTATTCCCTTCTTTTTCAACTGTCCTTGAAATCGAACATTTCATTTGCAACAAATCATCAAAATTATTAAAATTGCTAGTTAATTGCTACATCAAAATAATTAAATAAATGCTTTAAAAACTTACATCTGTCCAGAGGAGGAGAGTATTTATCAGTTGCTAAAACAACTCCAGCGTTATTAAGTACAGAATCTGTGTTTAATCCACCCCCTGCTCCACAGCCTAAATCATGCTTATTAAAAGTATTGAATACCTAAAAATTAAATTAATTATTTGAAATTGTTTTTCTTGCCACATTTTATAAATTGTAATAAATCAATAGATTAAAAAATTTTAAATTGCTACTTTAAGTAAAAAGAAAAAAAAATGAACTGTAGCAAAAGACAGGTAATTTACCTTAGAGAGCAAATTTAGCATCTAAAGATTTTCCTTAGATATTTATGATGATTTAATGCTCATTGCATGAATTCACTTTATCTTACTACAAGTCTATTTTTTATCATTGAATTAAATAACTGATTTTTCTGATTGAATTAAGTAATTGATTAATTTATAAAATTAAAAACTAAATGATGCAAAATGCTTATATAACCTTCGTATTTCATGAAAAATTATCTACTACAGAATTTGGAACAGAATGCTGTTTGTTAGTATCGGTTATTCTATACATTAGGTTAAAGACACTGATTAAAGCATAGGTCTATATCTAATATGCAAATGCAAATTTTAAGAATATAAAAGAATGTAAAAAAAACAAGCCACCATCGTTGGAAATAGTGTGCAAGCACTCTCAAACAATATTTAGCAAAATTACTGGAGATGATTATCTGCACTAATTAGGATTACAATCTATGTGATCTATCAGAAAATAATGATAACTGAACATTGGTCCACCCCCTCTTGTTAGGCTACATATATATTTACTGTAACACAAGTGAAAGGATTTCATTTTTTCATTCCTTCTTGCTTCATTTCAACATTTCATGCACACACAAAAATAAATAAATAAAAACTGATGTGCTCCAAAAATAACTGACTACAATTACTCAGCATATTATACAAGACAAGAATTCCTCACTTGGAAAGAAAATGGACATAATGCCATTCTGATTCTTTCAGCCATTTTTAGAAAATTATCATTTATTATGGTTAAGCTACAAACAAAACAAAAAATAGTACTATAAATGAGTTGTTTTTCTGTTAATGGTTATAAGGTTGTAGAGTCATTAGGTTATCTTGAAGTAGGAGAGATGAAAAATGAGCAATGCCGTCACCGGAACTGGAACTACGAACCTCTCGAATACGCGACGAGCGTGCTAACCATTACACCACGAAGGCATGCTAAGAAGGCAGGAGAAATACTTTATAAGGTATCAAATGATATATGATAGCATACATTTGATAATGCAATAACACATTCGTAAATTAAATTAGATAAATACGTATGACACATTAATTTAGCTACATTGTAGGATTTCTTTTATTTTACACAACAAAGTATTTTAAGTTTGGTACCTTTCCTGAACCTCTCATTTTCTCCTAGCATTTCCTCATCAGGCTGCAAATTTAAAGTTTAGTATTTAAACGGACGAATCTTGTAGTTTATTCAGAGCGTGAGTTCGCTAGCCAGTGCATGTTACTTGTTTGTCCTTGCTGTTACATGGAGTTTCTGATACGCCTTTTTGAGCCATTTAATACATACATCAATGGGTAGGTTAAGTCTGCCTATTTAGCTTCAAATTAAGTTGTTAGTCTAGCACAACCATTTTTCTTTGAATTTATTTGTGAACTATTCTTAAGTTCCACTGCAAGTTGTCAGTGTTAATGTAAGTGCATTTGTCTTAAGAGTTTGACGAATAATAGAGGGTTATTTTATCCTTTTTATGTGCTCTTTTACACCTGTACAAGAAGTCGCCAGGCTCCTTAGTGAGATCTAGTGATATTTATGAAAGCAAAGAGAGTTAGATCTTACATTATATTATCTTTTGTTGTAATCCAATAAAAATTCTCACATTTACCTAAACTAATTCCAGTACTTCTTAATATATCTATATCTATCTATATCTATATATATATATATATAATATTATATGATCTTAAATTCACTTAGTGCGAAATCAAGTTATTCCACTACTTGCACAATAGCTGCAAAGTAAGTTAATAGTAATTTATCTTGTATTCTTTTATATCACTTAATTCAGCAACAAAATCATAACAACAAACATGAATTAACAAAAGCTTAATTTTAGATGACCTGGAAAGAAAAATTAACAATCCAAATAACTGGAATTCTACTTTTACCTAAAGTTATTGTAATTTAATTAAAGCATGCAAGGGCTATTCAGCTTCATTCCACACTGGCCAGCTGCATGCATAAGGTGGAATACTGGACCTGCAACAAAGCAACTCCTACGCCTATTTCTTTGCAGCCATCTTTTCAAAAGCAACTTTCACACAGACAATCCTTAAATGCCCCTTAGACACAAATAAATTATATCAGCAAATACTCGCACATTATCCAAGAATAAAACCCAACCTCAACTTCTGCTAACCTCTGTATAAGTTAGACTGACAATGGATACAATATGCATCATCATTCTAATACTCATATTATGATTATCTACACAAAAGTTTACCTGATTCTGTTTTGACATCTTATAAACCCAGAACTTTTTCAGATTAAACTATGGTAATTATCATTACAATATAAATGCACCTAATTTCACGTGCTTATATAATTGTTACAGATTGTAAAATAATTAATATCAGTACTTAGTTACTACTTCAGCTATAATTTTAAACTTGAGTTTTTTGTTTTTCTTTTTCCTACTGTTAAATAACAACACCTGTTGTTAAATTTTAATATTAATATAATATAGTGATATAGTTTTACGATGCTTTTTTGTGTTAGCAATGCTAATTTTAAGCTAAATTTAACTGAGTAAATAGTCGCCAATTTTTAATATTATTGTTATCATTTACCTCGAGAACTTGTAGTTCCTTTGAGTGACTTAAAAGGCATTCGTAAGTTTTTATTTTGCTGCAGCTATTTTCAATTTGCATACTTATTTTATTTTGCTGCAGTTGTTATGAGTACAGCAAGTATTTATTAAAAGCAGAGTATTTTAAGAGATAAACAGTGCCTGATGGCTTGACATCCAGTTCGTAAGTGCAAAGTGTTTCTGAAATTTGTAGTATGTAGTAAAAAATATGTGCCACTTATGTGGGATACTCTAGACACTCTAAATAGGAAATCGGACAAGAGTGATGAAAAATGTGCAAGATCTGAAATTAGCATACTTACGACTGATGGCCCAAAGGTGAACAGAAAATGAAGAACATGAAAATTAAGCCAATGTCAGATAGTAAGGAATACCTTGTAATCCTGGATTCAGGGTCCTATAAAAACATATATTTTAAAAAATCTGGTGGAAAAAATGGGATATTGTCCAGTGAGAAAAGAAACTTATACACTCTTTATTTGGAGGGCTTATTTCTGAAAAGTGTGAACACATATGCTATAGAATCAGATTAAGAAATCCAGAACATATAACTTGTAACATGGAAGTTTTGTACCAGTCCTCCATATGTGATAATATTACACCTGTTAGTTCAGGTTCATGAATCAAAGAGCTTTAAGAAATGAAGATAGCATTGTCAGATGTGGGAAATGAGTCACAACCTGTTCAAGTACTCCTTGGAATTAATATGATAGGAAAACTTCTGACAAGTCAGCATAAAATACTGACCTGCGGACTTGCAGCCCTTGAAACTTTATTTAATTAGATTTTGTCAGGAAAAGTATCTGAGAGATATCTTTAACCAATGCTATGCTGATAACTTTCCTTTTAATAAAAGAAATGGATATTTCTGAAATGTAGAGACTGGATTCCTTAGGGATACAAGACCCTTCAGAACCGAAAACTAAAGAATAATTTTCTGAGACCTCAATGGAATATTTTTAAGGACTGTCAAAACTAATGAAGATGAATATTTTCTCATTAGTCTACCATGGCTTGATTTTTATTCACCATTTCAGACAATTTTAATTAGACACTAAAGAGGTTACAAGTGACCACTCATAAGCTCAAACTTGAAGGGTTATATGAAGAGTATGGAGAAGTCTTCAAAGAATGGAGAGAAAGATTGAGAAGGCATCATCAAAGAGGTTCCTAAAGAAGAAGGTATCTTGTCATTATTTTCCCCATTGACATATAGTGAAGAAGAACTGGCCAAGATTAGACCAGTGTTTAATGCTTCTTCTAAACAAAAAGGAAACTCAAAGTCTCAATAATTGCATCGAAAAGAGAGTGAATTTGATTGAATTAATTTCTTCTATAGAATTCTCTTGTATAAATTTGGTATGACAGGTAATATACACAAAGTGTTTTTCTGCAAATAAAACTCTACAAAAAAGACTAAGATTTCCTTTGACTTCTATGGTACAGTGAAAATCAAGGAAGTCTCAAACGATATCATCATTGCAATTTTGCCCCTGGTGTTTCGTGTAGACTGTTCTTACTTGGATCAACCATCCAATACCATTTAGAAAGGAAAATAGATAAAGATATGCAAGAAAATGAAAAATATGTTGACAATATTATCTGACAACTGATACTCAGCTTCTATGTGGGAAACTGCTTGACTACTGTCAAAACTGAATTAGAGTTGAAACAATTTATTGAAATTGGCACTGAAATTACAGTAGAAAGAAAATCTGATTTATGAGGGTGAGAGTACATTAACTCGTCTGAATCTCAAGTCAAGCAAACATTCTATGAATGATGTAATACAGATATTTTGATATTCTTTCCATAAATATCGCTCATGTGAAGAAAGTAATGAGTGTAGTAATCACAAAAAGAAATATTTTAGCTGTTTCATGCAAAGTTTTTGATCCTCTAGGAATAGTTGGTCCGGTGATACTGTGTCCGAAACTCTGGCTACAAAATTTGTGGAAATCTAAAATCAGTTGCGATGAAGAAGTTGATATAAAAGCACATCAAGATTTTTTAAAATGGCTAAATGAGCTTGAATATTTGCAACACATGAAAGTGCCAAGATGGTTTCCACTGTGATGAAAGACTTGAGGCACATTTCGCTATATTTTTTTCAGTGATGTGAGCAAACTTGCTTATTTAACTGTAGTTTATCTTCAAGTTGGTAATGGAAGCACTGCTTGTGTACAACTAGTACAAAAGGAAACAACAATTGCTAGGTTGAAATTTCTTACTGTTACTATTTCTGCTCATCTTTCCTTGGGGGACCCAAGCAGATGACATTGATTCCTAGATTGACTGTTCCATAGTATTAGCTTGGCTAAAAAGAGAAGACTCAAAGGCCCGTGTTCCATTGTTCAGAGCCATGTTGCAGAAATCAAGAATCTGACACCTGTCGAACCATGGCGACATGTGCTTGGATCTTTGAATCCTCAAAACCTGCCAAGTAGGAATTTTTCAATGCAGCAGTTATGCAAATCAAAACGGTGGGAGGGTCCCAGCTGGTTGTATTTTCCACCTTTTGAATGGCCAGTTAACAGCATATAACTAGATATCAATGAATAAATGATCAATAAGAAAAGAAATCTTGAACTCCATAATGAATATTCAAGTAACAGAAATCTGAAGAGATCATTTTCCCGCCTACAGTAGAAATATTAGAGTAGTGGCATGGATTCTACATTTCCTCCATAATATTTCACATGAAAACAAGTTAAATGGTAACTGGAGTTATGAAGAATTCAAACAAGCAGAAGTTCTGTTTTCAAGTTCAAACAGTTAAAGACTTTTCAAGATGTGAAGTTTCTTATTAAAATTAAGGGTATTTAGAGATTGAGAAAATCTTCTGAGAATAAGAACCAAACTAATGAACAGTGATGAAAAAGAGGTTTTCAGGTTCTCTCTTACCTGCTTCTGGTGTTGTCCTAGAGTTATTTTATGAAGAGCATGAAAAAGCAATGCATGCCAGTTCTTTAATCTTACTTGCCAGGATTAGGGAGACGTTTTGGATTCTTGAAGCTAAAAAGTTAATGAAACATATAAATGGCCAAATATGTAAAGTGCAAGCATTATAGAACTAAATCCACGGAAAATCCTTTTGCTCCACTACCTAGAGAAAGAGTTACAAGAATCATTGAAGTATCTGATGTGGATTATGCTGGTCCTCTTCACCTAAAGTCAAAAGGTAAAACTTGGATGGTTTTATTTACCTGCACCATTTATGAAGTGATCCATTCTGAATTAGTCACTCATTACAGATGCTTAGATTTAAATCTTAAGACAATTCATTGCAAGAAAGGCAGGATTTCAGTACTTTAATAATGGCATGTAAAACAAATACACTGTTTGCAAGAACAGTGTATTTGAAACATTAGACTGAGACAAGCCAGCCGCTGCTCAGATCACTTAGAAATTTTTCCACCCACAGTATTATGGTGGGGGGTGTCGTCAGAGCGTATGGTAAGAATACTCAAAGAACTTCTGCGAGAGTTGCAAAAATACCACTTAGATTATGAAAAGCTCAGCACGACTGTGAGTCAGTAATAAATGCTAGACTGCTGATCTACATACAAGATGATCCAATTGGTACCAATTATACCTAGAATAGCAATAGACAGGGGCAGCGACATCAAAACTCCAGGTCTTGTGTACAGTGTAGGCCAGTGTAGGCCTTGGACAGTGTAGCCCAATCTTCCTTGATAAAATGCATAAACTACACACAGAAGTTAGGTGAAAATCTTAAGACAAAGATTTAGAAATTAATATCTTGCTCTTTTAGCCCCAAAGGGAGTAAGAAATAATGTTTTAAATGTTGGTGATGTTCTAATTGGGCATCATCATGCTCGTTCTTTTCAAAGCGTTTTTGCAACTTAGAAATGTTGACAAAAATTTATGTTGATTTTTTGACGGCTTCTAGAAAAAGTGGCATATTTGCTGGAGATATTTCTGATTCTTCCGTTGAGAACACTGATACTGTTTCAAGTGAAGCACCTCTCAAAAGTACATTAGAAAGAACCATAAAAACTCCTCGTCGAATAGACTTGTGAATTTCATTTTTTATTTAACTAGTGAAATTGATTACGATTTAAGAATTATATTCATAAATTTGAAAATTTTGCTTGCTCTGAACCTGAATTGCAAAGATCAAAGGTAAAAGTAAGTTGCAGATTGCAAAATAATTATTATCAATACTTAACTAAAATTTCACCAATAATTTTCAACTTATTTTTTAATTTTAATATCAATATTTAACTACACCTATAATTTTCAACTTTTATTTTTTCTATTGTTAAATAGCAACATCTTGTTGTTAAATTTTAGTAGTAATAGAATGTCATGATATAGTTTTAAGATATTTTACTGTGCTAGCAAAGCTGTTTCTAAGCTACATTTAACAATTGTTAATTTTTTTAATATTATCATATTCATTCATCTGGAGAACTTCTAGTTCATGAGTGATTTAAAAGGCATCCATAACTTTTTATTTACCACCTGTTATGTACAATACTTATAGCTAATAATTATATTTAGTAGCATTGTGCTCAATTTCTCCACAAGCTGCCCAGATTGCATGGGGGTAGGGAAGTAAACTGCCACAGCCTTGGTCTCAGGTTTGAAACCCAAAGAAGGCAAGGATGTTCGTAAATGTATAGTGTCTTCACAGCCAAAAGTCCTCCCTGGAAGTTGGGAAAAAAAGAGTATGAGATTCTTGGACCAGCCTCTTAAAATATTATCTTTCAAAACTGGGTTAGTGTTCTTTGTGAAAAATGAATTTCAGTTGCACCCCCTGTGCTGTACCTTGAGCAATGTTCTCGGTAGTGAGTTGGCAGAATGATTGATGGATTTGAGCTTTCTCAATAAATGCTTAATTAGCCAGTGTCTAGCCCCTGGGAGAAACATAAAAACCTTCTTATCATAATTTAGAATATTTAATATAACTGTGTTCACCTTATCTTTATTTGAAAATATTATAAACTTTTTCCCATTATTGATTAATTAATTTTGGCAAAACTGAAATAAAATTTTACATTATATGTTTACAGATTTCAAACATATATAGATTGTTACTTACTTTAGCTTTTGTCAAAAGATCTCTTTTGGATATGGCATACACAGCTTCATCTACACCTAAAAGTCCAACTAAGGTGTCCCTCTGACCACGTAAAATAATTTTCCCAGCAGCACCTGGTGATTGATCATCAAATTCAGGATTGATAGTCACCTTCAAAGACACCATTATTTTAAAATGACAGTTTTAAATATAAAAATCCTTTTTTATATTTTCATGATAGTTAAATAGCATGGATTAAAATTAGCATTAATTTTGTCATTAATAAAGAAAGTGAATTAAATAATCCAATGAACAGATCACACTATTAATTTTTAATAAAATTCTATAAAAAATCAGTTTGCTATATTTTGAACCAATTTTTTTTTTTTTACTGACAAACTGCAAATGTCATTTTCACTCCTGCAGTTGCAGAAAGTTTTATTCAAACCTTTCAAGCTACACTTGCAGATTTATTTTTACACTGAGTCTCTTACATATGTTCTTTGGTATGTTAATTTAATTAATATTAAATCAATGCAGTTCTTCATCTCTGGTGTTATTGATTGAAAGCTTGACCTGTGAAATTACATTACCTGGACTCATTAAAATCATTATATATGAAATGTATTTTCTCATACATTATTTGTGTTGTGCAGCCGGGGCAAAGGGAATGAGACAAATTTTGGAATATAAAGTGATAAGTTTATTTTAGCATCCATCTCACAAGCGTTCCTCCTGTACCTTGAGGAGAAGCCCTCTTTATAGATATGTGTGCGTCATGGTGTTCATCCAATCAACGATATTAATTGAAATCACGAAGTGACGCTATCTTCTTATCAGGAGTGTTCTTAAGGATATGACAGATTTATGAGTTTGGGGATTATATAATTTATAATAAAGAAAGGATTTTGCCAAACTTTAGGAACAGGGATGCAATTTAGGTAGAGAATCGCCAACATATTATTAAGGAATATGATTAGAATTTAATTTAATCAATTGATTTCAAAATATCATTATGTGTATATATATATATATATATATATATAATGATTTTAATGATTTTATAAAGTTTTCTAATTATGTATGTACATATATATAATTAGAAAACTTTTTACATACCATCTCCGAGGAATAGAAATTCTGTTAAAAACCATGAATTATGAATTATTAAAAATTTTTAGTCAGCATTTTAATTAGCAATTTAAATTAGTATTTTTAGACCTCTGTTCTTTTGAAAACAGGAAATCCTTAAACGAAAAAATACCAAAATCAAAAGCAAAAATTTTAAGCATTGAAAAAGTAGCTATTGTCATTGATCGCAGATTAATCAAGGGAATTAAACCAATCTACCATCAATTAACAACAACTAAATTAAGTAAGAGTGTTTTGTCTTTCTTCCAAATAAGCATCAAATTATATTTTTGCAAGGGACAAATCAAATTTCTGCAAGTCATAAATAGTACTCAATCAAAATAAAAACATTAGTCCATTTAAGCCAAAAGAACCTTCATAAACGAAATAAATTAGTAAATAATCTTTTAAGTCTGAATTGTTCACTACGAACACAACTAAATAGGATGCTTACTTTAGAAGACATATCCCCGACACTCTCATTTGCAAACTCAAATTCAAAGGTTAAAACAAAAGTAAATATGTTTTTTAAGTAATTAAAAATCAAAAGAAGATCAATGACAAAACCCTTAAAATTAAATAAAGAAGTTATTTTATAAAGATCAAACCCAAACTTTCAAAAGTTTAATCGCCAATTTTGATCTTCATCTGACTTTGAATAATTTTTAAAAATATATATATTTACTTTTGATTTTACCTTTGAATTTGAGTTTGAAAATAAGAATATATATCTTCAAAGTAAGCATCCCATTTAGTTGTGTTCTTAGTGAACAATTTAGATTTAAAAGATTATTTACTAATTTATTTTGTTTATGAATATTATTTTGGCTTTATTTATGTCTTTATTTTGATTGAGTATTATTCATGACTTTTAATTTGGCTTTTGCAGAAATTTAATTTGATGCTTACTTGGAAGAAAGACAAAACACTCTCACTTAATTTAGTTGTTGTTAATTGATGGTTGATTAGTTTATTCCCCTTGATAAATTGATTAATCTGTGATCAGTGACAACATCTACATTCAATACTTAAAATGTTTACTTTTCATTTTGGTATTTTTGCATTTAAGAATTTTTCTTTTCAAATTTTTATGTTTTTAAGGCAATAGGGGTCTAGAAATTACCAATTTAAATTACTAATTAAAATGCTGACTAAAACTTTTTAATAATTAATAATTCATGGTTTTAATTGAATTTCTTTTCCTTGGAAGATGGTATACAAAAGTTTTCTAATTATAAATTATTGGTTTATTACTTTGCAGCTTTATGCAGGTCACAAGCTTTTTAATTTACTTTTATTTAGAATATACGTCATAATTTAATGTGTAGGAAAAAACACTGGAACTTTTAACAGTTTTTGATATCCATCATGGCTGAGGGTTGAATGTATATTGATGAAGATAAAAAAACTGGATCTTTACAAATCACCAGTATTTATTTTGAGGCACATCAAAAATTATTTCTTTGGCAGACAAATTACTTTTCAATCATTTTTGAATACAAATAATTTTTATATACACAGATAAAAAGATATGACATCATTTCAGACAAGGAAACATAAGCAGTGCAGAGTTCTTTTCAGAGTAGAACCTAGGGAAAGGAATGATGTAGTTGTTTTGAGCATTAATATTTATACTAAGTATGATGCATAAATACAGCTAATCTGCGATTGGTAATTTTTAGGTTGCTATGTAACATGGAAATATCTTGAATTTGGGAGAACAGATGAATTTAGAAGGGAGAACATAAAATTTAGAATAGTTAATTTTGAGGTTGCCAGTTATTCTTAAAGCAGCCATTGTATTTTGTTATATCTTTAGCAAGTCATCATAAGCAAAGTTCTTCGCAGGGTAGAAGCTAGGGAAAGGAATGACGTAGTTGTTTTGCCAAGAGTATTTATACTAAGTGTGATGCTAACAGTATCTGTGAGGAATATTTAATGCACGGAGATCTGTTGGGAGAACAGATGAATTCAGAGGGGAGAACATAACATCTAAAATAGTTAATTTTGAGGTTGTAAGGATCTTAAGTTTTACTAACGTTTATTTTATTTTAAATCTTTACTATCACTTCTTATTTTCTACTTCCGGCCAGAATTATAAGCGTTAAGGTATTTATGCAAAGTTTGTCTGGCGAACGCCAAGTATTTAAGTTGTGGCTTTTTTGCCAAGCGAGAGAGAGGAAGCAGTTGAGTCGAAGCAGGCCGCTTACCTTAGAAGTTTTACTCAGTTGCTGGTTGCCTTCCAGGCCAGAGGTTTTAATCCTCTTGATAAATTTTAAACGTATTGTAGTGTTCACAGTTCTCTGTACTACATACGGCTTCCTGTTAATATAAGGCCAATCTTCCACGTTTATTATTCTAAAGTTAAATTAGAGTTTAGTTTTATTTTTATATTTTTTTTACGTTTAGACCCCAAGTAGCGGGTCTGTGTATTCCGAAGTACGGAAGTTATTGTAAATAGAGAAAAATAAAGGGTTTTGTATACCCTTCTTGTGTATCCTGTCTACTTCCCACAGTTTTGAACATAGCTTTAGTAAGCTCTCTGTTCCGAGTCAGGTCCTTGCATGTTCCCGAAGAAGGTTAGAAGGAACATTGAACCTGATAGTGGCGCCCAACGAAGAAGAATAACCATGGCCGAGTTTCAAGAAGAACCTGTGCTGCCTGCAGAAACGGCTCAGAATCCAGAAATGCCAGCTGCCGCCCTGGAAGGATTTGGTTACATCGTCCAGACCATGCGCGCTTCGATGAAACCAGAAGCAACATTTAATGGAAACTCACCGGTAACCAGTTTTTTGGAAAAATTGGATGACCACTTCATGCTCTACCCCGTGCACGAAGTTTCAAAAAGTTACCTTAGCTACCAGCGCTTTGAGGGGCCAAGCGCTTAACTGGTTCAAATGTATAGGCAGAAGTCTCTTGGGTCAAGCAGGAAGTCCCACCTATACTTACGAGAATTTCAAGACTGCCCTACTAAAAGCCTTCCCTGTTGTAAGGGATCGTGCGAAATTAGAAACGGAACTTTTCAGTATATATCAACAAAGAATCGAAAACCTCTCAAGCTTTATTTTAAGAAAAATTCACGTCTTCAAACTCTTGTATGGAAACCGTCCGGATCCTGAAATAATTCAAGTGATTTTGCCGAGGTTACTGCCCCAAGTGCAAGACTTTATTGAATTAAGAAATCCGACTACACTGGAAAAGTTATTTGAGCTAGCAATCCAGTTTGAAAGTAGAAAGAACGGCGGACGTCGAAAGAAGACGCCAATATCAACAGCGAAACCAATTTGGTACGCCAAGACTACAGCATAACTCAAGCACACGGCTACGGAAGCAAAAAGCGAATCAGTTGGGCAAGGAAAAACCCGAGCATTCAAAAAACAGCCGGCGAACGTCCGACAGATTCAATAGCAATCCAGGAAAAAAGAAGTTCTCAAGGCCAGAAGGAAAAAGAAGGAAAGCACGGAAATGAAAAATAATTTAAACTAAAACGGATTTCTGCTGACGGGTGCGGAAATCCGAAGGAAAAAGTTCGAGTAAATTGGAAATTGCTTTCAAGACGGTGTTCCCCCCGCATGCGGCGGCACCCCAATTTTTTTAGGAAGCAAAGCTATATCTGGTAATCAAGCATACCCCCGGAAAGGAAAATATCGTAGCAGATGCCCTATCCAAGAATTAAAATAGATGAAGAAGGTAATACCGTAAAGGTGGCAATGCTCACAGCATGTACAATAAATTCCCGAGAAACTGTAATAACCGAACTGGGTAAGGATCCTGAGTTTGGAAGCATTTATGAGTATTTAAAGGATCCTGAAAATTTTAGCCACCAAGATATTGTGGCGATAAGAAATAGGGCGGCCCATTACGAACTAATAGATGGTCTATTATTCTATACAAAAACTACGAATTCCAACAACGAATTTCGACCTGTTATCCCAGCTAGTCTTAGATTAAATATCCTGCAGGAGCTCCATGACAGCCCTTTAGCTTCTCATGCTGGTATTCGAAAAACTATCCAACGCGTACGCGAGGCAGTCTATTTTCCTGAACTGCAAAAGTTAACAAGGGCGTAT